ACCCAATACAGACCCCCTCCCCAGCTTCCTCCCCATACAGACCCCCTTCATACAAACCCCCTCCCCACGTCCCCATACAAATCCCTTCCCCATATCCCCATGCAGACCAGACCAGCGCCATAAAGACCCATCCCCATGTCCCCATGCAGACCCCCCCCATACAGACCCCATTCATGGCCCTATACAGACAGCCATACGTCCCCATGCAGGCCCCCCCCATACAAAACCCCCCCACGCAGACCCCCCATACAGACCCCTCAGCCCCCTGCAGACCCTCCCGCTCCCCCCCAGTGCCCCATCTCCCCCCTACAGACCACGTGACCCTACACAGACCCCTCAGACTCACCCAAATCGCCACTGAGACCCCCACAGACCTCCCCCCCTTCCCCTATAGCCCCCCCTCCGCAATACCCCTCCCCCTTCAAGGCCCCTCCAGGTACCCCAGGACTCCCCCCACCCCACATAGGACCCCACATCCTCTCCAGACCCGCCTCCACCCCACACAGAGCTTTGAGGGCCTCAGTGCCCCGCCAGCCCCCCAAATCAACCCCCCTTGGAAACTTTTGTCGCACCCCCCTCCTCCCCCCCGTAAAAAAAATCCCACAACGACCCCCCACTCACCACAGACGCCATCATTGACGTGGGCAGAGGGGATGTGCTGGGGTCGGTACCCAGCGTTGGTGCAGTGGAAATGGCCATTGGGGCAGGCTGAGGTCCCTGAGGTGGGGGGGGGGGGTCAGGGAGGAGGACCCCCAGGAGTGGGGGGTGCAGGGCAGGGGGGCACAAAATTGGGGGGGGGCACAGGGTGTGGGGTGGGACATGGTGTGGGTCAGAGGCTAAGGGTGGGGGGGAGGAAGGTGGGGCCCAAGGGTGTGTGTGGGGGGGTGAAGTGTGGAGAACGGTAGGGGGTGTGATGCCAAGGGTGTGGGCGGGGTGCAAAGGGGGGGAAGGGGGTGTGGGGGGGGGAGCGAAGGGTGGGGTGGGGGTGAAGGTTGGGGGGGTGCACAGGAATTGAGGGGGTTCAGGGAGGGGTTGCGAAGGGTGGGGGTGGGAGGAAACTGAGGTGGGCACTGGTCATCAGGGTGGTGCAGGGCGGAAGGGCACAAAACTGTGGGGGGGGCACAGGATGTGGGGGGGATCAGCAGGTGAAAGGGGGGCAAGGACGGCACAGGGCATTGGGGGGGGTGCAGGGTGAGGGGGGGTGCGGGGAACACAGAGTGTGGGAGGGGCAAAATTATGGGGGGGGCACAGAGCTTTGGGGATGGAGGGGCACAGGGTGTGGGGGAGCCACCCGGTGGGGTTCCCCCATTGTGGGGCTGGGGTCGCAGCCCCTGCAGACCGGTTCTGGGGGAGGGGGAGGAGCAGGGGGGGCTCACCAGGTTCGTCAGAGCCGTCGCGACAGTCGCAATAGTCGTCATTGACCCACTTGAAGGCGATGGTGGAGGAACCGTCCAGGCAGGTGAAAGGCTGGGATTCCTCATAGAAGTGATGGTCTGGGGAGGGGGGGTTAAGGGGGGTGTCCTCACGTGGGGGGAGGTCTAGGGGGTCCGGGGGGGCAGCAGGGGAGCAGGGGGGGGGTCACTCACTGCTCAGTGAGACGCCGCAGGGCCGCGTCACCTCCACAGCATCCGGGGGGGGGGGGCAGCAGCAGGGGCAGCAGCATGGAAGGGGGGCTGGGGTGGAAAAGGGGAGGGGGGGCTGGAATCTATAACCCCACCCCTCCTCCCCCGCTGGCCCCCCCAGCCCCACAGACCCCCAGCTCCCTATAGATGCTCCTCAGCTTCTCACAGACCGTCCTGGGGATATTTAAAGCCACTCCCCTGCCCACAAAGGTTCCCTACAGGGCTCCTGCTGCTCCCCCTACGAAGCCCCAGTGCCACCCCCATACAGACCCCCACCATGTCCCCATACAGACCCCCCCCGGGCCTTCCCCCTCCTACAGATCCCCTCCCCAATACAGACCCCCTCCACGTTCCCATGCAGACCCCCCCAGAGCTTCCCTCCCCACAGACCCCCCCATAGAAATCCCTTCCCCATATCCCCATACAGACCAGACCAGCCAGATAAGGCCCCCCCACCCATGTCCCTATGCAGACCCCCCCCATACAAAACTCCCCCACGCAGACCCCCCATACAGACCCCTCAGCCCCCTGCAGACCCCCCTTGCTCCCCCCAGTGCCCCATCTCCCCCCTTCAGACCACGTGACCCTACACAGACCCCTCAGACTCACCCAAATCGCCACTGAGACCCCCACAGACCCCCACACCCCCTCCACCCCACACAAACCTTCGGGGGTCTCTCAGTGCCCCTCTAGGAACCCCCATCTCCTACACAGCCCCCAAAGCACCCCCCCTAGAGACACATGGTGCCCCCCATCCCACCTTGAGACCCCCCCAATACCCTCAATCACCACCCAAGGACCCCCCCCACCCCACATAGGACCCCACATCCTCTCCAGACCCGCCTCCACCCCACACAGAGCTTTGAGGGCCTCAGTGCCCACCCAGGCCCCCCAATCCCCTACAGCGCCCCCAAATTAACCCCCCAGGGACACTTTGATCCCAACCCCCTCGTCTCCCCCCCTAAAAAACACCCCACAACGACCCCCCCACTCACCACAGACGCCATCATTGACGTGGGCAGAGGGGATGTTCTGGGGTCGGTACCCAGCGTTGGTGCAGTGGAAATGGCCATTGGGGCAGGCTGAGGTCCCTGAGGTGGGGGGGGGGGGGTCAGGGAGGAGGACCCCCAGGAGTGGGGGGTGCAGGGCAGGGGGGCACAAAATTGGGGGGGGCACAGGGTATGGCGTGGGACATGGTGTGGGGGTAGAGGGGCTAAGGGTGGGGGGGAGTGAAAGGTGGGGCCCAAGGGTGTGGAGGGGGGGTTGGGTGTGGAGAACGGTAGGGGGTGTGATGCCAAGGGTGTTGGGGAGGTGGGGGGGGGGGGCAGACGGGGGGGAAGGGGGCGTGAGGGGGTTGGAGGCCCAAGGGTGTGGGGGGTTGTGGGTAGATAAGGGTGGGAAGGAGGGGCAAAGGGTGAGGGGGGCAAACGAGGGGGGGCAAGGATTTGGGGGGGTTCAGGGAGGGGTTGCGAAGGGTGGGGGTGGGTGGAAAGTGAGGTGGGCACAGGTCATCAGGGTGGTGCAGGGCGGGTGGGCACAAAACTGTGGGGGGGGCACAGGATGTGGGGGGGACAAGGTGGGGGGGGGCAAACGGCACAGGGGGGTCATAAAGTGGGGGGGGCACAGGGAATAGGGGGGTCAGCAGGTGAGGGAGGGCACACGACAATTGGGGGGTGCAGGGAGGGGCGCAAAATTATGGGGGGGGCACAGAGCTTTGGGGATGGGGGGCCACAGGGTGTGGGGGAGCCACCCGGTGGGGTTCCCCCATTGTGGGGCTGGGGTCGCAGCCCCTGCAGACCGCTTCTGGGGGAGGGGGAGGAGCAGGGGGGGCTCACCAGGTTCGTCAGAGCCGTCGCGACAGTCGCAATAGTCGTCATTGACCCACTCAAAGGCGATGGTGGAGGAACCGTCCAGGCAGGTGAAAGGCTGGGATTCCTCAGAAGTGATGGCCTGGGGGGGGGGGATTAAGGGGGGGTGTCCTCACGTGGAGGGGGGCTAGGGGGGGGGAGGGCAGCAGGGGAGCAGGGGGTGTCACTCACTGCTCAGTGAGACGCCGCAGGGCCGCGTCACCTCCACAGCATCCGAGGGGGGGGCAGCAGCAGGGGCAGCAGCATGGAAGGGGGGCTGGGGTGGAAAAGGGGAGGGGGGGCTGGAATCTATAACCCCCCACTTACTGGCCCCCCCAGCCCCACAGACCCCCAGCTCCCTATAGATGCTCCTCGGCTTCTCACAGATCACCCGGGGATATTTAAAGCCTCCCCTCCACCCCAAGGTTCCCTATAGGGCTCCTGCTGCTCCCCCTACAAAGCCCCAGTGCCCCCCCATACAAATCCCTCCCCATACAGAACCCCCAAGCAGACCCCCCCAGACCCCCCCATAACGACCTTCCCCCCCACGCAGACCCCCTCCATATCCCCATGCAGACCCTCCCATACAGACCCCCTCCACGTTCCCATTCAGACCCCGTCCCACAGCTTCCCCCCCATACAGACCCCCTTCATACAAATCCCTTCCCCATATCCCCATACAGACTAGACCAGCCCAATAAAGACCCCCACCATGTCCCCATGCAGACCCCCTCATACAGACCCCTCCCCCATCCCCACACAAACCCCCTCCCCATACAGACCCCATTCATGGCCCTATACAGACCCGCCCCCCCATGTCCCCATGCAGACCCCCCCCATACAAAACCCCCCCACGCAGACCCCCCATACAGACCCCTCAGCCCCCTGCAGACCCCCCCGCTGCCCCCCAGTGCCCCATCTCCCCCCTTCAGACCACGTGACCCTACACAGACCTCTCAGACTCACCCAAATCGCCACTGAGACCCCCACAGACCCCCACACCCCCTCCACCCCACACAAACCTTCGGGGGTCTCTCAGTGCCCCTCTAGGAACCCCCATCTCCTACACAGCCCCCAAAGCACCCCCCCTAGAGACACATGGTGCCCCCCCCCCCACCTTGAGACCCCCCCAATACCCTCAATCACCACCCAAGGACCCCCCCCACCCCACATAGGACCCCACATCCTCTCCAGACCCGCCTCCACCCCACACAGAGCTTTGAGGGCCTCAGTGCCCACCCAGGCCCCCCAATCCCCTACAGCGCCCCCAAATTAACCCCCCAGGGACACTTTGATCCCAACCCCCTCGTCTCCCCCCCGTAAAAAACATCCCACAAAGACCCCCTCACTCACCACAGACGCCATCATTGACGTGGGCAGAGGGGATGTTCTGGGGTCGGTACCCAGCGTTGGTGCAGTGGAAATGGCCATTGGGGCAGGCTGAGGTCCCTGAGGTGGGGGGGGGGGAAGAGGAGGGGTCAGGGAGGAGGACCCCCAGGAGTGGGGGGTGCAGGGCAGGGGGGCACAAAATTGGGGGGGGGGGCCACAGGGTATGGCGTGGGACATGGTGTGGGGGTAGAGGGGCTAAGGGTGGGGGGGAGTGAAAGGTGGGGCCCAAGGGTGTGGAGGGGGGGTTGGGTGTGGAGAACGGTAGGGGGTGTGATGCCAAGGGTGTTGGCGAGGTGGGGGTGGGGGTGGGGGGGCAAACGGGGGGGAAGGGGGTGTGAGTGGGGGGGAGGCCCAAGGGTGTGGGGGGTTGTGGGTAGATAAGGGAGGGAAGGAAGGGCAAAGGGTGAGGGGGGCAAACGAGGGGGGGGCAAGGATTTGGGGGGGTTCAGGGAGGGGTTGCGAAGGGTGGGGGTGGGTGGAAAGTGAGGTGGGCACAGGTCATCAGGGTGGTGCAGGGCGGGTGGGCACAAAACTGTGGGGGGGGCACAGGATGTGGGGGGGACAAGGTGGGGGGGGCAAACGGCACAGGGGGGTCATAGTGTGGGGGGGGGCACAGGGAATAGGGGGGTCAGCAGGTGAGGGAGGGCACACGACAATGGGGGGTGCAGGGAGGAGCGCAAAATTATGGGGGGGGCACAGAGCTTTGGGGATGGAGGGGCACAGGGTGTGGGGGAGCCACCCGGTGGGGTTCCCCCATTGTGGGGCTGGGGTCGCAGCCCCTGCAGACCGGTTCTGGGGGAGGGGGAGGAGCAGGGGGGGCTCACCAGGTTCGTCAGAGCCGTCGCGACAGTCGCAATAGTCGTCATTGACCCACTTGAAGGCGATGGTGGAGGAACCGTCCAGGCAGGTGAAAGGCTGGGATTCCTCAGAAGTGATGGCCTGGGGGGGGGGGATTAAGGGGGGGTGTCCTCACGTGGAGGGAGGTCTAGGGGGCCCGGGAGGGCAGCAGGGGAGCAGGGGGTGTCACTCACTGCTCAGTGAGACGCCGCAGGGCCGCGTCACCTCCACAGCATCCGGGGGGGGGCAGCAGCAGGGGCAGCAGCATGGAAGGGGGGCTGGGGTGGAAAAGGGGAGGGGGGGCTGGAATCTATAACCCCCCCCCACTTACTACCCCCCCAGCCCCACAGACCCCCAGCTCCCTATAGATGCTCCTCGGCTTCTCACAGATCACCCGGGGATATTTAAAGCCCCCCCCTCCACCCCAAGGTTCCCTATAGGGCTCCTGCTGCTCCCCCTACAAAGCCCCAGTGCCCCCCCATACAAATCCCTCCCCATACAGAACCCCCAAGCAGACCCCTCCCCATACAGACCCCCCCAGACCTTCCCCCCCATACAGACCCCTCCCACATCCCCATGCAGACCCTCCCATACAGACCCCCTCGCGAATACAGACCCCGTCCCCAGCTTCCCCCCCATACAGACCCCCTTCATACAAACCCCCTCCCCACGTCCCCATACAAATCCCTTCCCCATGTCCCCATGCAGACCCCCCCCCATACAGACCCCATTCATGGCCCTATACAGACCCGCCTATGTCCGCATGCAGACCCCCCCCCCACGCAGACCCCCCATACAGACCCCTCAGCCCCCTGCAGACCCCCCCGCTGCCCCCCAGTGCCCCATCTCCGCCCTTCAGACCACGTGACCCTACACAGACCCCTCAGACTCACCCAAATCGCCACTGAGACCCCCACAGACCCCCACACCCCCTCCACACCACACAAACCTTCGGGGGTCTCTCAGTGCCCCTCTAGGAACCCCCATCTCCTACACAGACCCCAAAGCACCCCCCCTAGAGACACATGGTGCCCCCCCCACACCTTGAGACCCCCCCAATACCCTCAATCACCACCCAAGGACCCCCGCCAACCCACATAGGACCCCACATCCTCTCCACAACCCCCTCCACCCCACACAGAGCTTTGAGGGCCTCAGTGCCCACCCAGGCCCCCAATCCCCTACAGCGCCCCCAAATTAACCCCCCAGGGACACTTTGATCCCAACCCCCTCCTCCCCCCCCCTGTTATAAACACCCCACAACGACCCCCCCACTCACCACAAACGCCATCATTGACGTGGGCAGAGGGGATGTTCTGGGGTCGGAACCCAGCGTTGGTGCAGTGGAAATGGCCATTGGGGCAGGCTGAGGTCCCTGAGGTGGGGGGGGGGGTCAGGGAGGAGGACCCCCAGGAGTGGGGGGTGCAGGGCAGGGGGGCACAAAATTGGGGGGGGGGGCACAGGGTGTGGGGTGGGAGACGGTGTGGGCAGAGAAGGGCTAAGGGTGGGGGGGGGGGGGAAAGAGTGGGAGGGAGTAAAAGGTGGGGCCCAAGGGTGTGGAGGAGGAGTGGATGTGGAGAAGGGTGGGGGGGGGGGGGGGGTGAACGGTGGGGAGAATGAGGGGAGCACCAAGGATGTGGGGGGGTCCAAGGGTGTGGTGGCAAGGGTGTTGGGGAGGTGAGGGGGGGGGGGCAGACGGGGGGGAAGGGGGCGTGAGGGGGTTGGAGGCCCAAGGGTGTGGGGGGGTGAGGGTAGATAAGGGTGGGAAGGAGGGGCAAAGGGTGAGGGGGGCAAACGAGGGGGGATTGGAAAATGAGGGGGTACAGGTCATCAGGGTGGTGCAGGGCGGGTGGGCACAAAACTGGGGGGGGACACAGGATGTGGGGGGGGACACGGTGGGGGGGCAAATGGCACGTGGGGGTCACAGAGTGGGGGGGGCAGAGGGAATAACGGGATCAGCAGGTGAGGGGGGGCACACGACATTGGGGGTGCAGGGGGGGGCACAAAATTATGGGGGGAACAGAACTTTGGGGATGGGGGGCCACAGGGTGTGGGGGGGCCATCCGGTGGGGTTCCCCCATTGTGGGGATGGGGTCGAAGCCCCTGCAGACCGCTTCTGGGGGAGGGGGGGGAGCAGGGGGGGCTCACCAGGTTCGTCAGAGCCGTCGCGACAGTCGCAATAGTCGTCGTTGACCCACTCAAAGGCGATGGTGGAGGAACCGTCCAGGCAGGTGAAAGGCTGGGATTCCTCAGAAGTGATGGGCTGGGGGGGGGAGCTTAAGGGGGGGTGTCCTCATGACGGGGGGCTCAAGGGGGGGGGGGGGGGAGGGGGGATCACTCACTGCTCAGTGAGACGCTGCAGGGCCGCATCACCTCCACAGCATCTGTGGGGGGACCAGCATCAGGAGCAGCAGCATGGAAGGGGGGCTGGGGCGGAAAAGGGGAGGGGGGGGCTGGAATCTATAACCCCCCCCTTACTGGCCTCCCCCAGCCCCACAGACCCCCAGCTCCCTATAGATGCTCCTCGGCTTCTCACAGATCACCCGGGGATATTTAAAGCCCCCCCCCTCCACCCCAAGGTTCCCTATAGGGCTCCTGCTGCTCCCCCTACAAAGCCCCAGTGCCCCCCCATACAAATCCCTCCCCATACAGACCCCTCCCACGCAGACCTCCTCCATATCCCCATACAGACCCCCTCCACAATACAGACCCCCTCCCCAGCTTCCACCCCATACAGACCCCCTTCATACAAACCCCCTCCCCACGTCCCCATACAAATCCCTTCCCCATATCCCCATGCAGACCAGACCAGCCCCATTAAGAACCCCCCATGTCCCCATGCAGACCCTCCCCATACAGACCCCATTCATGGCCCTATACAGACAGCCATACGTCCCCATGCAGGCCCCCCCCATACAAAACCCCCTCATGCAGACCCCCCATACAGACCCCCTCAACGCCCCTACGGACCCCTCAGCCCCCTGCAGACCCTCCCGCTGCCCCCCAGTGCCCCATCTCCCCCCTACAGACCACGTGACCCAACACAGACCCCTCAGACTCAACCAAAGCGCCACCGAGACCCCTACAGACCTCCCCCCCTTCCCCTATAGCCCCCCCCTCCGCAATACCCCTCCCCCTTCAAGGCCCCTCCAGGTACCCCAGGACTCCCCCCACCCCACATAGGACCCCACATCCTCTCCACACCCCCTTCCAACCCACACAGAGCTTTGAGGGTCTCACTGCCCCTCCAGCCCCCCAAATTAACCCCCCAGGGATACTTTGATCCCACCCCCTTCCTCCCCCCCCCCCCCAAAAAAAAAACCCACAACGACCCCCCAACTCACCACAGACGCCATCATTGACGTGGGCAGAGGGGATGTTCTGGGCTCGGTACCCAGCGTTGGTGCAGTGGAAATGGCCACTGGGGCAGGCTGAGGTCCCTGAGGTGGGGGGGGGGGGGGGAAAAGGAGGGGTAAGGGAGGAGGACCCCCAGGAGTGGGGGGTGCAGGGCAGGGGGGCACAAAATTGTGGGGGGGCACAGGGTGTGGGGGGGAGGCAAAGGGTGGGGGGAGGGGAGGGTTAAGCGTTAGTGGAGTCGGTGAAGGGTGGAGAGGGGGGGGCGCCAAGGGTGTGGAGGGGGGGGGGGGAAGGGGGTGTGTGTGTGGGGGGAAGCGAAGGGTGGGGTGGGGGTGAAGGTGGGGGCTGCACAGGGACTGGGGGGTTGGAAGGTGAGGGGGGCACAGGGGGTGGGTTGGGACACAGTGTGGGGGGAGGGGGGACCAAGGGTGGGAGGTGGAGAAGGGTGGGGGGGGGTTGGAAGGTGAAAGGGGGCACAGAGCATCAGGGGGGAAAAGGTGGGTGGGCACAAAATTGGGGAGGGGAGGCACAGGGTGTGGGAGGGATCAGCAGGAGAAAGGGGGGCAAGGGGGGCACACGGCATTGGGGGGGTGCAGGGTGAGGGAGGGTGCGGGAAACACAGAGTGTGGGAGGGGCAAAAATCAGGGGGGGGGGGCACAGAGCTTTGGGGGAGGGGGGGCACAGGGCGTGGGGGGGTCCCCTCATTTTAGGGATGGGTTCGCAGCCCCTGCAGACCGCTTCGGGGGGGGCTCACCAGGTTCGTCAGAGCCGTCGCGACAGTCGCAATAGTCGTCATTGACCCACTCAAAGGCGATGGTGGAGGAACCGTCCAGGCAGGTGAAAGGCTGGGATTCCTCAGAAGTGATGGTCTGGGGAGGGGGGAGTTAAGGGGGGTGTCCTCATGATGGGGGGCTCAAGGGGGGGGGGGGGGAGGGGTCACTCACTGCTCAGTGAGACGCCGCAGGGCCGCGTCACCTCCACAGCATCTGTGGGGGGACCAGCATCAGGAGCAGCAGCATGGAAGGGGGGCTGGGGTGGAAAAGGGGAGGGGGGGGCAGGAATCTATAACCCCCCCTTACTGGCCACCCCCAGCCCCACAGACCCCCAGCTCCCTATAGATGCTCCTCGGCTTCTCACAGATCGCCCTGGGGATATTTAAAGCCACCCCCCTCCCCCCAAAGGTTCCCTACACGGCTCCTGCTGCTCCCCCTACAAAGCCCCAGTGCCCCCCCATACAAATCCCTCCCCATACAGACCCCTCCCATACAGACCCTCCCCACAGACCCTCCCATACAGACCCCCTCCACAATACAGACCCCCCCCCCCAGAGCTTCCCCCACTACAGACCCCCTTCATACAAACCCCCTCCCCACGTCCCCATACAAATCCCTTCCCCATATCCCCATACAGACCAGACCAGCCCAATAAAGACCCCCACCATGTCCCCATGCAGACCCTCCCCATACAGACCCCATTCATGGCCCTATACAGACAGCCATACGTCTCCCATGCAGGCCCCCCCCCATACAAAACCCCCTCACGCAGACCCCCCATACAGACCCCTCAGCCCCCTGCAGACCCCCCCGATCCCCCCCCGTGCCCCATCTCCCCCCTTCAGACCACGTGACCCTACACAGACCCCTCAGACTCACCCAAATCACCACCGAGACCCCTACAGACCTCCCCCCCTTCCCCTATAGCCCCCCCCTCCGCAATACCCCTCCCCCTTCAAGGCCCCTCCAGGTACCCCAGGACTCCCCCCACCCCACATAGGACCCCACATCCTCTCCACACCCCCTTCCAACCCACACAGAGCTTTGAGGGCCTCAGTGCCCCTCCAGCCCCCCAAATTAACCCCCCAGGGATACTTTGATCCCACCCCCTTCCTCCCCCCCCCCCAAAAAAAAACCCCACAACGACCCCCCCACTCACCACAGACGCCATCATTGATGTGGGCAGAGGGGATGTTCTGGGCTCGGTACCCAGCGTTGGTGCAGTGGAAATGGCCATTGGGGCAGGCTGAGGTCCCTGAGGTGGGGGCAAGGGGGGAAGTCAGGGAGGAGGACCCCCAGGAGTGGGGGGTGCAGGGCAGGGGGGCACAAAATTGTGGGGGGGCACAGGGTGTGGGGGGGAGGCAAAGGGTGGGGGGAGGGGAGGGTTAAGCGTTAGTGGAGTCGGTGAAGGGTGGAGAGGGGGGGGCGCCAAGGGTGTGGAGGGGGGGGGGGGAAGGGGGTGTGTGTGTGGGGGGAAGCGAAGGGTGGGGTGGGGGTGAAGGTGGGGGCTGCACAGGGACTGGGGGGTTGGAAGGTGAGGGGGGCACAGGGGGTGGGTTGGGACACAGTGTGGGGGGAGGGGGGACCAAGGGTGGGAGGTGGAGAAGGGTGGGGGGGGGTTGGAAGGTGAAAGGGGGCACAGAGCATCAGGGGGGAAAAGGTGGGTGGGCACAAAATTGGGGAGGGGAGGCACAGGGTGTGGGAGGGATCAGCAGGAGAAAGGGGGGCAAGGGGGGCACACGGCATTGGGGGGGTGCAGGGTGAGGGGGGGGTGCGGGAAACACAGAGTGTGGGAGGGGCAAAAATCAGGGGGGGGGGCACAGAGCTTTGGGGATGGAGGGGCACAGGGCGTGGGGGGGTCCCCTCATTTTAGGGATGGGTTCGCAGCCCCTGCAGACCGCTTCGGGGGGGGCTCACCAGGTTCGTCAGAGCCGTCGCGACAGTCGCAATAGTCGTCATTGACCCACTTGAAGGCGATGGTGGAGGAACCGTCCAGGCAGGTGAAAGGCTGGGATTCCTCAGAAGTGATGGTCTGGGGAGGGGGGAGTTAAGGGGGGTGTCCTCATGAGGGGGGGTTCAGGGAGGGGTCACTCACTGCTCAGTGAGACGCCGCAGGGCCGCGTCACCTCCACAGCATCCGGGGGGGGCAGCAGCATGGAAGGGGGGCTGGGGTGGAAAAGGGGAGGGGGGGCAGGAATCTATAACCCCCCCTTACTGGCCACCCCCAGCCCCACAGCCCCAGTACCCCCCCCTACAAACCCCCCCGATATCCCCACACAGTCCCCCCCCAATACAGACCCTCCCACACAGACCCTCCCATACAGACCCCCACCATGTCCCCATACAGACCTCCCCCCCCCAGAGCTTCCCCCACTACAGACCCCCTCCCCAATACAGACCCCCTCCACGTTCCCATGCACACCTCCCCCCAGAGCTTCCCCCCCATACAGACCCCCCTATACAAATCCCTTCCTCATATCCCCATACAGACCAGACCAGCCCAATAAAGACCCCCACCATGTCCCCATGCAGACGCCCTCATACAAACCCCACCCACATCCCCACACAAACCCCCTCCCCATACAGACCCGATTCATGGCCCTATACAGACCCCCCCATGTCTCCCTGCAGACCCCCCCCATACAAAACCCCCCCACGCAGTCCCCCATACAGACCCCTCAGCCCCCTGCAGACCCCCCCGATCCCCCCCGTGCCCCATCTCCCCCCTTCAGACCACGTGACCCTACACAGACCCCTCAGACTCACCCAAATCACCACCAACACCCCCACAGACCCCCACACCCCCTCCACCCCACACAAACCTTCGGGGGTCTCTCAGTGCCCCTCTAGGAACCCCCATCTCCTACATAGCCCCCAAAGCACCCCCCCTAGAGACACATGGTGCCCCCCACCCCACCTTGAGACCCCCCCAATACCCTCAACCACCACCCCTTAAGGACCCCCCCACACCACATAGGACCCCAAATGCTCTCCACACCCCCCTCCTCCCCACACAGAGCTTTGAGGGCCTCAGTGCCCCTCCAGCCCCCCAAATTAACCCCCCAGGGATACTTTGATCCCACCCCCTTCCTCCCCCCCCCCCAAAAAAAAACCCCACAACGACCCCCCCACTCACCACAGACGCCATCATTGATGTGGGCAGAGGGGATGATCTGGGCTCGGTACCCAGCATTGGTGCAGTGGAAATGGCCATTGGGGCAGGCTGAGGTCCCTGAGGTGGGGGCAAGGGGGGAAGTCAGGGAGGAGGACCCCCATGAGTGGGGGGTGCAGGGCAGGGGGGCACAAAATTGTGGGGGGGCACAGGGTGTGGGGGGGAGGCAAAGGGTGGGGGGAGGGGAGGGCGAAGGGTGAGTGGAGGGGGTGAAGGGTGGAGAGGGGGGGCGCCAAGGGTGTGGACAGGGGGGGGAGGGGTGTGCCGGGGGGGGGGGGGGGGGGAGCGAAGGATGGGGTGGGGGTGAAGGTGGGGGCTGCACAGGGACTGGGGGGGTTGGAAGGTGAGGGGGGCACAGGGGGTGGGTTGGGACACAGTGTGGGGGCAGGGGGGGCCAAGGGTGTGGGGGTGGAGAAGGGTGGGGGGGGGTTGGAAGGTGAGGGGGGGCACAGAGCATCAGGGGGGTGCAAGGCGGGTGGGCACAAAATTGGGGAGGGGAGGCACAGGGTGTGGGAGGGATCAGCAGGAGAAAGGGGGGCAAAGGGGGCACACGGCATTGGGGGGTGCAGGGAGAGGGGAACACAGAGTGTGGGAGGGGAACAAATCGGGGGGGGGGGGCACAGAGCTTTGGGGATGGAGGGGCACAGGGTGTGGGGGGGGTCCCTCATTTTGGGGATGGGGTCGCAGCCCCTGCAGACCGCTTCGGGGGGGGCTCACCAGGTTCGTCAGAGCCGTCGCGACAGTCGCAATAGTCGTCATTGACCCACTTGAAGGCGATGGTGGAGGAACCGTCCAGGCAGGTGAAAGGCTGGGATTCCTCATAGAAGTGATGGTCTGAGGAGGGGGGGATTAAGGGGGGTTGTCCTCACAGGGGGGGTGGTCTAAGAGGTCCGGGGGGGGCAGCAGGGGAGCAGGGGGGGGTCACTCACTGCTCAGTGAGACGCCGCAGGGCCGCGTCACCTCCACAGCATCCGGGGGGGGGCAGCAGCAGGGGCAGCAGCATGGAAGGGGGGCTGGGGTGGAAAAGGGGAGGGGGGGCTGGAATCTATAACCCCCCCCTTACTGGCCACCCCCAGCCCCACAGACTCCCAGCTCCCTATAGATGCTCCTCAGCTTCTCACAGATCGCCCTGGGGATATTTAAAGCCACCCCCCCTCCCCCCCAAGGTTCCCTATAGGGCTCCTGCTGCTCCCGCTACAAAGCCCCAGTATCACCCCAAACAGACCCTCCCCATACAGACCCCCCCCACATCCCCATGCAGACCCTCCCATACAGACTCCCACCATGTCCCCATACAGACCCCCCCAGGCCTTACCCCCCTACAGACCCCCTCCCCAATACAGACCCCCTCCACGTTCCCATGCAGACCCCCGCAGAGCTTCCCCCCCATACAGACCCCCCCTATACAAATCCCCTCCTCACGTCCCCATACAAATCCCTTCCCCATATCCCCATACAGACTAGACCAGCCCCATAAAGACCCATCTCCATGTCCCCATGCAGACACCCCCCATACTGACCCCATTCATGGCCACATACAGACCCCCCCCATGTCCCCATGCAGACCCCCCCCATACAAAACCCCCCCACGCAGACCTCTCATACAGACCCCTCAGCCCCCTGCAGAACCCCCCCGATCCCCCCCAGTACCCCATCTCCCCCCTTCAGACCACGTGACCCTACACAGACCTCTCAGACTCACCCAAATCGCCACTGAGACCCCCACAGACCCCCACAACCCCTCCACCCCACACAGAGCTTTGGGGGTCACTCAGTGCCCCTCTAGGAACCCCCATCTCCTACACAGCCCCCAAAGCAACCCCCCTAGAGACACATGGTGCCCCCCCCCACCTTGAGACCCCCCCAATACCCTCAACCACCTCCCCCCAAGGACCCCCCCCACCCCACATAGGACCCCACATCCTCTCCAGACCCGCCTCCACCCCACACAGAGCTTTGAGGGCCTCAGTGCCCCCCCAGGTCCCCCAATCCCATACAGCGCCCCCAAATTAACCCCCCAGGGACACTTTGATCCCAACACCCTCCTCCTCCCCCCCCTAAAAAACATCCCACAACGACCCCCCCACTCACCACAGATGCCATCATTGACGTGGGCAGAGGGGATGTTCTGGGGTTGGTACCCAGCGTTGGTGCAGTGGAAATGGCCATTGGGGCAGGCTGAGGGCCCTGAGGTGGGGGGGGAAGAGCGGGGGGTCAGGGAGGAGGACCCCAGGAGTGGGGGGTGCAGGGCAGGGGGGCACAAAATTGTGGGGGGGCACAGGGTGTGGGGTGGGAGACGGTGTGGGCGGAGAAGGGCTAAGGGTGTGGGGGGGTGAAAGAGGGGGAGGGAGTAAAAGGTGGGGCCCAAGGGTGTGGAGGAGGAGTGGATGTGGAGAAGGGTGGGGGGGGTGGGGGTGAACGGTGGGGAGAATGAGAGGGAGCACCAAGGATGTGGGGGGGTCCAAGGGTGTGGTGCCAAGGGTGCTGGGGAGGTGGGGGGGGGGGCAGACGGGGGGGAAGGGGGCGTGAGGGGGTTGGAGGCCCAAGGGTGTGGGGGGGGTGTGGGTAGATAAGGGTGGGAAGGAGGGGCAAAGGGTGAGGGGGGCAAACGAGGGGGGGCAAGGGTTTGGGGGGGGTGGGGGCAAACGGGGGGGGGGGGTTGGAAAATGAGGGGGGCACAGGTCATCAGGGTGGTGCAGGGCGGGTGGGCACAAAACTGGGGGGGGGGCACAGGATGTGGGGGGGGACACGGTGGGGTCATAAAGTGGGGGGGGGCACAGGGAATAGGGGGGTCAGCAGGTGAGGAGGGCACACGACATTGCGGGGTTGCAGGGGGGGCGCAAAATCATGGGGGGGGAACAGAGAGCTTTGGGGATGGGGGGCCACAGGGTGTGGGGGGGCCACCCGGTGGGGTTCCCCCATTGTGGGGATGGGGTCGAAGCCCCTGCAGACCGCTTCTGGGGGAGGGGGGGGAGCAGGGGGGGCTCACCAGGTTCGTCAGAGCCGTCGCGACAGTCGCAATAGTCGTCGTTGACCCACTCAAAGGCGATGGTGGAGGAACCGTCCAGGCAGGTGAAAGGCTGGGATTCCTCAGAAGTGATGGTCTGGGGGGGGGGGAGGTTAAGGGGGGGTGTCCTCATGTGGGGGGGGCTCAAGGGGGGGGGTCACTCACTGCTCAGTGAGACGCCGCAGGGCCGCGTCACCTCCACAGCATCCGGGGGGGGGGACCAGCATCAGGGGCAGCAGCATGGAAGGGGGGCTGGGGTGGAAAAGGGGAGGGGGGGCTGGAATCTATAACCCCCCCCTTACCGGCCCCCCCCAGCCCCACAGACCCCCAGCTCCCTATAGATGCTCCTCGGCTTCTCACAGATCGCCCCGGGGATATTTAAAGCCCCCTCTCCCACCCCCCAAGGTTCTCTATAGGGCTCCTGCTGCTCCCCCTACAAAGCCCCAGTGCCCCCCATACAAATCCCTCCCCATACAGACCCCCCCCCAAGCAGACCCCCTCCGTATCCCCATGCAGACCCCCCCATACAGAAACCCCTCCCCAATACAGACCCCCTCCCCAGCTTCCCCCCCATACAGACCCCCTTCATACAAACCCCCTCCCCACGTCCCCATACAAATCCCTTCCCCATATCCCCATACAGACCAGACCAGCCCCATAAAGACCCCCCATTTCCCCATGCAGACCCCCCCCATACAGACCCCATTCATGGCCCTATACAGACCCCCCTACGTCCCCATGGAGACCCCCCCCCACGCAAAACCCCCCCACGCAGACCACCCATACAGACCCCTCAGCCCCCTACAGACCCCCCCGCTCCCCCCCAGTGCCCCATCTCCCCCCTTCACACCACGTGACCCTACACAGACCCCTCAGACTCACCCAAATCGCCACCGAGACCCCCACAGACCCCCCCCTTCCCCTATAGCCCCCCCCCAAGACCCCTCCCCCTTCAAGGCTCCTCCAGGTACCCTACAAACCTTCCCCGATGGAGCCACCCCACAGACCGCTTCCTCCCCAAACAGGCCCATATTGGCCCCCTGCTTCACCCTACAGACCCTGAAACTCCCCAAGACCCCCCCAGCCCCCACCCCAAGACCCCCCAGCCTCACACAGCGCCCTCAAATCCCCACAGACGCCCCCAAACCCCCTCAAACACCCCCCCAAAAGCCCTACAGACCCTCACCCTCAGACCCCTATAGAGCCCCCAAACCCCTTCTAGGCCTCCAGTTCCCCCCGGACGCCCGCCGTACCACACAGACGGCCACTCGTGCTGGGTGCACAGCCCACACGCCGGAAGCGGAAGCCAAGGAACGGAAGTTCCGGCCGTGCGCCGTTCTCCCGGAAGTACCGTCCCGGAGACGCGGCCGCCATGTTGGATGTGACAACACCGCCAGTTTGCGCGCGGGGAGCGGCGGCCATATTGAGTGTGGCGGCGGCGGTCAGCCAATGGGAGCGAAGCGTTTGGTTGCCGTAGCGACAGGAAGAACGCGTGGAAGCAGAGCGGCACGTGTGCGTGCTGGGGGGGGGGGGGGGGGGGGGCGAATTTGGGGTTCGAGGGGGGGGCACTGAGGTTCCGGGGGGGAGGTCTTTGGATGGGGGCGGGGGGGCTGCAGATCACATTGGGGGGAGGATTGGAGGACCCTGGGGGGGGGGGGGGGAGGCAAGGAGGATTGAACTGGGGAGGGAGGAATTTGGGATGGGGGGGAATTGGGGGTCGAGCGGGGGGCTGAAGACCCCCCTATGGGGAAGGTGGGGGGCAGCATTTTGGGGATGGGGGAGTTGTCTATAAGGGGGGGGGTCTGTCCACCCTATTGACCCCCCATGCAGGTTTAACGCCCCTCCCCCCCCGCCATGGGCACCCCCCACATCCCAACCCTTCTGCAGGGACAGAAGCACGGCACAGGTAATGGAGTGCAGGGGGGACACCTTAAATTGGGGGGGGTACAACTGATGTCCTTGACCCCCCTCCTGTGCCCCCCCCCCCATTTTAGAGACCCCTGAGGAATGGAGGTGCTGGCTGAAGGCTGAGATGCAGTGGCTGCAGCACGACACAGCGCGGGCCATGGATGTGAGGACCCCCCCCTGCCCCCCCTCCCCAGAAGTGGTCTGCAGGGGCTTCGACCCCATCCCCAAAATGGGGGAACCCCCCCACACACACCCTGTTCCCCCCCCTCGAAAGCTCTGTGCCCCCCCCCGAATTTTGCCCCTTCCGCACTCTGTGCTTCCCCCAACCCTTAGAATTTTGCGCCCCCCCCCCTCACCTGCTCACCCCCTCATTCGCTGTGGCCCCCCCCACTCTGTGACCCTCCCCACACCCTCTGCCCCCCCCCCCCCGGGCCTTTTGCCCCCCCCCTCCCCCACTGTGTCTCACCCCACACCCTGTGCCCCCCCCCAATTTTGTGCCCCCCCACCCTGCAGCTCCCCAAAGCCCTGTGCCCCCCCTCACTTTCTGACCCCCCCCGTGCCTCCCCAACCCTGTGCCCCCCGCATTAATTTTGCCCCTCCCACACTCTGTGCCCCCTCCGCAATTTTGTGCCCCCCCTGCAGCCCCCATGCGTTGTGCCCCCATATCCCCCCACAATTTCGTGCCCCCCCACCCCGCACCCCCCAATTCCTTTTTTCCCCTCTCCACTTCTGACCCCCCCACCCTGTGTCCCCCCTCTTGGGCTCCCCCTCCCTCATCCTGTGATCCCCCCCCCCATTAATTTTGCCCCCCCCACCCTGTGCCCCCTGTCAACGGTTTAAGGGCTGCTTCGGCCCGGTTCCGTGACGAGTGGGGCGGAGGGATCCTCAGGAAAAAAAAGGAAACAGGGGACCCCAAAATAATTAAAACAGCGGCACCGATCTGAGGAGAAACAAACGAATTCACTAAGTATATTAGCGGGATGCAAGAGAACACACTATAATACAATATAATCAGAATGGAAGCTAATAAATCAAATATAATGAGAATGTCCGAAAGGTGGACAGGCCTCAGCACAAGGCTGAGGTGAGATGCGCAGTGCAGCTGAGCAGCGGGGAGACGGGAGCAGCGCCCAGGACGAAGGGCAGGCGAGAAAGAGCATCAGGAGACCTTGCCAGGAGTTCAACCTCCTCGCCCTGAGCGCAAGGTCCCCTGGGGAATGCAGTTCTTCTTCTCTTCTGGGCAGGTACCCAGGACTTGAGCACTGACAGTGAAAGTCCCAGTGCCCCACACGATGGTATGATGTGGAATACCGAAAGGCAAAACTCACAAAGCCACGACGCTGTCCTGACAGCTGCTTCTGCTCTCACAACTGCTTGGAACGGTCCTTCGCAGTCGGGTTGCAGCTTTGCCTCCTTGGTCTGGATGAGCACCCAGCCTCCAGGCTGGGATGGATGAATGGGAAATTGCAGAGGCGATGATTGTGCCAGCAGTCCTCGGGTCCTGAGAGAGGATAGTGAGGAAGACAGTCCGAGTCTGCGGTTCTTAAGGAACACATCTTGAGTTTCAAACTGCGGTACCTCATTTTTCTTTCCCAGATATGGGAACCCGAATAACATTTCCTATGGAGAAACCCCCACAGCCTGTCTTGGTGCTGTACGGATTCGGAGAAGTGCCAGAGGCAAGCATTTGGTCCAACGGAGCCGAGTCTCTACGGCCAACTTGTGAGGAGCTTCTGTATTCTCTGACTCGTTCTTTCTGCTTTTCCTGATGACGGCAGGTGCCGGGGGTATGAAATTCCCATTTAATCCCTGAAGCGTGCATTAGTTTCTGTAATGTGTGTGAAGTGAAATGACTGCCTTGGTCTGAATCCACATATCCTACCCCTCCATACCTAGGGATCATGTGTTCCAAAATCACCCTGGCCACCACACTTGCAGTGGCAGATACTGACGGAAATGCTTCTGCCCGCCACTTCAATGCTCTGCTGACACGAACGAGTCTTGATTTTCCCTGCATTCGGGAGTTATGTAAAATCTGCTTGAGTACTTTGGAATGGTCGAATCCCCGGCTCTCTTTCCCCTTCAGGCCGGTGTCTGATAGCCTTATTATTCACTTTCTGGCACGCTACACATCCCCTACAGACCTGTTTAGCCAGAGTATATACCCCTATATATCCCTGTGCTGACGTATTTCTGCAGCACAGCATCACACAGGGCTTGTACTCCCCAATGACTGCCTTGATGCAGGGTGATTAAAATTGCGCTTGTCACTGCCTTGCTTAATATTCTCTCCCATCTGAAATGATCCACCTTCCCTCGGACTCCGTGGCCCCTAAGTTCCTAAGGGTTTCCTTTTCTTTACTGGGAATTTGTTTTGGGGGAGGAGGTGGTACCTCGGGCACAAGATGGTTCATAGTAATTGTTGATTGTAGAGCAGCCTCACGGGCTGTTTTATCTGCTGCTCGGTTGCCTTGGGCAATGATGGAATTCCCCTCTGGTGACCTCTGACATGCACTATTGCAATTTCAGTGGTAGCAGTAAATCTTCTAGGACTTCACAGAATTATCACAGAATCGTAGGGGTTGGAAGGGAGCTGCAGAGCTCATCGAGTCCAACCCCCTGCCCAAGCAGTTCCTACAGCAGGTCGCACAGGTCGGCATCCAGGCAGGTCTTGAACATCTCCAGAGCAGGAGACTCCCCCACCTCCCTGGGCAGCCTGTTCCAGCGCTCCGTCACCTCACTGTACAGCCGTTCCTTCGCACATTGGTGCAGAACTTCCTATGCTGCAGTTTCCATCCATTCCCCTTGTCCTGTCTCCACTCACCACTGAACAGAGTCCGGCCTCGCCATTCTGCCCCCCACACCTCAGATACTGATAGACCTGGATCAGGTCCCCTCTCAGCCTTCTTTTCTCCAGGCTGAACAGACCCAGTTCACTCAGCCTTTCCTCATAGCAGAGATGCTCCAGGCCCCTCGCCATCTTGGTGGCCCTCCGCTGGACTCTTTCCAAGAGATCCCTGTCTGTTCTGTGCTGGGGAGCCCAGAACTGGACGCAGAGCTCCAGATGAGGCCTCAGCAGGGCAGAGCAGAGGGGGAGGATCGCCTCCCTCGACCTGCTGGCCACGCTCTGTGCAATGCACCCCAGGATGCCACTGGCCCTCTTGGCCACAAGGGCACACTGCTGGCTCACGGCCGACCTGTCGTCCACCAGGACACCCAGGTCCCTCTCCGCAGAGCTCCCCTCCAGCAGCTCATCCCCATCCTGTACCGCTGCATGCAATTATTCCTCCCCAGATGCAAGACTCTACACTTGCTTTTGTTAAACCTCATGCATTTTTTTTACTGCCCAGCTCTCCAGCCTGTCCAGGTCTCGCTGAATGGCAGCACATGGACTTCGAGGTGGAAGGTATTTGGGGGGGCAGGCTGTTGTGTGAAGGGGGAGGTGGGTCGTGAAAAGGGGGCTGTTGTGCAAAGGGGATGTGAAAGGGGGGGTTGTTGTGCAAAGAGGGGAGGGGGTCGTGAAAAGGGGGCTGTTGTGCAAGGGGAGGCAGTTGTGCAAGAGGGGTCTTAAAGGGGGGGTGATTGTGCAAAGGGGGGAGAGTGTGGAGTTGGTTGTGAAAAGGGTGGGCAGTTATGCAAAGGAGGGGAGGTGGTTGTGAAAGTGGGGGTTGTGGAAAGGGTGGGTTGTGGAAAGGGGATCATCGTGCAAAGGGGAGCAGTTGTGCAAAGAAAAGGGGGGCGGTTGCAAAGAGGGACCCTGATTGTGCAAAGGGGGGAGCTGGTTGTGAAAAGGGGGCTGTTGTGCAAAGGTGGGGGGGGAGTCGCTGTGAAAGGGGGTGGTTGTGCAAAGGGGAGGTAGGTGATTGTGAAAGGGGCGCAGTTGTGCAAGGGGGGGCCTGTAAAGAGGGGGTTCTCGTGCAAAGTGGGGCAGGTGGTCGTGAAAAGGGGAGATGCTTGTGCAAACTGGGGAGAGTGGGGAGTTGGTTGTGAAAGAGGGGCAGTTGTGCAAAGGGGGCAGTTGTGCAAGGGGAGTGCTGGTGCAAGGGAGAGGTGTGGAAGGGGGCATGCGTGTGCAAGGGGGGATGTGAGTGTGTGAGGGGGGGTTGTGCAAAGGGGGGTGTGCAAAAGGGTTGGTTGTGCGTGAAGAGTGTGCAAGGGGGACTTGTGCAAGGGGAGGAAGCACGGGGGCACTTGTGCAAGGGAAAGCGTGCAAGAGGAGAGCGTTCCTGTGAGGGTGAAGTGTGCAATGGGAAGCGTGGAGAGGGGCTGCTTGTGCAAAGGAAAAGAAATGTGCCGGGGGGGGATTGTGCAAGGGGGGGTGCAGTCGTGCAAGGGGATGCTTGTGTGAGGGAGGAGTGTGCAAGGGGGGCACTTATGCAAGGGGGAGCCACGCATGGAGGGGGAGAGTGCAAAGGGGAGCGCTGGTGCAAGGGGATTTATTGTGCAAGGGGAAGAGCTGGTGTGAAAATGCTTGTGCAAGGGCTGGGGTGGTGAGAGGCCCTGTGCTTGTGCAACTGCTGTGCAAAAGGGGGGGCGGGGGCATCGTGTCCTGTGCACCCCCTCGTGCAAAGCCCACGTGCACAACCCTCGTGCAACCCCCTTGTGAACAATCCTTGTACAACCACTCGTGCAAAACCCATGTGCGCAACGCTTGTGCACAACCCTCGTGCAAAACCCGTCGTGCAAACCCCACGCTCACACCCTCGTGCAACCCCCCGTGCCCAACCCTCACCCACAACCCTTGTGCAAACCCCATGAGCAAAACCCTCGTGCAAAACCCCACGCTAACACTCTCGTGCAAATCCCCCCACACTCCCCCATTTGCACAGTCCTCATGCAAACCCCACGCTCACACCCTTGTGCAACCGCTTGTGCACCCCCCCGTGCACAACCCTTGTGCAACCCCAGTCCCGCACCCCCTTTTGCACAACCCTCGTACAACACCTCGTGCAAACCCCATGTGCACAACCCTCGTGCAATGCACAACCCTTGTGCAACCCCCCCGTGCCCAACCCCCTGTGCCCAATACTTGAGCAAACCCGAGGCTCACACCCTTGTGCAAACCCCCTCCAACACCCCCCATTTGAACAGCCCTTCTGCAACCCCCCACGTGCACAACCCTCGTGGAAACCCGAAGCTCACACCCCCGTGCAAATCTTATGTGTGCAGCCCTTGTGCACAACCCTTGTGCAAAACCCACGCCCACACCCTCATGCAAGCCCTCGTGCAACTCTTATGTGTGCAACCCCATTTTGGCTGGCCAGCCAGATGTTGGCCTGGCAGGGCACCTGGCCAGCCGGCAGCCCAACTTTGAACCCTGCAGGGTGCCCTGCCCGGCCAGCAGGCTTTAACCCAGCATTCCCTCCCCTCCCCCCACTCTCTTTCCCCCCCCTACGGCCCCTCGAGCCCCACTCAGCCTTCAGGCCCCGTGCTCACCTGCCCCCCCACCCCCTCGTTCCAGGGTATTTTACTGCCTTCTCCCCACCCTGTCATGGTTCTATGTTTTTGTTTTTGTTTTTTGTTTTTGGATTTCAGTATTCCACATCAAAACATCATGTAGTGTACGGGGCACTAAAGTGTCACTGCCCCAGTCCCAGGTTCCCATCCCTGTACGTTACAGCAGTCACGGGATCTGGCCCTTCCGGGTGGGGGGGCGCTCTCTTGCTGCCTGGCAGTGGGTGCTGGAGGTGCTTTCCTGGCCGTTCCAAGCTTTCCAGGTTTGACTCGGTCCCAAGAACTCTCTCTCTCTCATCTTGTCTGATTTATTAATCTCAATTTCAATTAAATTGTATAGATGGTGTTATTTTGTATTCCAATATTATAGTAAAATAAGTTTTCCTCCATAGATTGTTGCTGCTGTCCTTTTCCTCCCTTCCTTCCTTCCCATTTTTTGTGGGACTGGGGTGGGGGGGGGAGGGCAGAGGCCTGCCGCCCCTGTCACGGACATAGATTGATCTGGTCAACTCCGTGACAGCAGTACAGAGGAAAAGGGAAAAAAAAAAGAGTCATTAAACAGCAACACAACAAGAAAACATCCCCTCGGTTGGCTAGAGATTGCTTTGAAGCACAACCAAGCAAACACCTCCTCATCGGAAAGTTTCCAAACGTCTCTGCTCCAGACAGAGGCACAGAAACCCGTTGGCCCAGGACTGCCATCACTGACTGGGCTCCTCTCTCACTCTGCTCCTCACCCAACACCCAGGACTGCTTTTTACCATGCCCTTGCTCAAGAGCACACAAGCTACGCAAGCACACCGCTCGCCCTAGGAAAAACATGGCTCCTAGGAGCCTGCACTGCAAACCGATCAACAGACGGTTAAGCCTCACAGGAATCACAAAAACTTACAGCACAACCCAGGCCCCCGTTTAGCAGGAATGCTTTGCTGAATTTGGGCTCACAGTATGATGCCAACTCGTCACCTTCCTGCCTTCCAACTGCCTGCACTGTGCTCTGAAGCCACGATCCAATGCCTTAATGCCCTCACGTAACAGCAGCTGCTTCATCAGCACAGAGGAAGGAACATCTCAGGAACGGACATCACACACCAGCCAGGCTGCTAAGGATCGGTAACTCTTCTGGGACAGCTTCATCCAAACCTTTCTGCATTGGCCTTGGTAGCACCCGGAACTCGTCCCATTCCTGCTTTGAGGGCTCAGAGCCTGAACTCTACTAAGAGGCCACCTGTCATCATGAAAGCAGGCACACCTGATACAACCACACCACTGAGGCTCCTCTGCTCAACTTCACTGCTTCCCGATGCTCGCTTAGAAAATAAAATCCACCCAGAGCATCAAACGCCAACACGTTTCAGTGGCACAGCCCAGCACAGAGCTGCGATCCCAAAGCCATTATAAGGTTGGATTGAACAGTGCTGTGTGGGACATTCAACTGCTTCAAGCTCCAACAAGCTG